GCTTTGGGCAGCTTGAGCCGCCTCGCAAAACGTAGGTGCAAGCTCCAGGAAATCTTTGCTTCAGAGGGAAGTGTTACCTCCCAAAGGCATGAATGTATTCGATCAAGGCACTGCCCGCCTTAGCTTGCACGCTTTGGGGACAAATAGCATCTACCCTTCCTCCAACTAACATGGCACCTGTGGGGAGGTACCTGGAAGATAAATTTCCTTTTGAAGGGACCCCCTGTCAGTTGCCATGTTAGTGGGAAGGAGGGTAATAACTACCAGCACCTATCAACGCACTCTGTTCCTTCGAGCACGCACGGGACAATAGTATTGTTGGCTTCCTTGCAAAGCTCGTTACAATTGTGGCTCTCAGGAACCAAATCTTTCACCACTTTGGGCCGCGCTTTGGCCCCATCACTGGGCTCCGAGCTTGCTGCTCCCAAGCTCTTTGCAAACTGGAGCAAGAGTCTGTGAAACCAGGAGCAAAACTCAGAGATGGGTATGGGTCAACATTACACCACCAAGGGACCGCATATTTAGCCCATGTTTCCAATTACCAGGGTTCCATTTTGAGCACCTATTTTTGACCCACAGCCAGATTGTTTCAGCCACGAATCTCTCCGCTGCATCCTGGAGATCTAGTTCGGCCCAGGCGGACTCTCGGGCATCCAATGTGTATATGTTCACATCCCAGAGCGGCTGCACCATCAGGCACTGGAGCACTGGAGCATGGTACATCCGGAAGAGAAGCACGCAAGCTAGGATAAGGCCACTACAGGAAGCAAAAACCACACCTGGCCTAAGCCTGACACAAACATGTGCTAGTTGCGCGCACGCCCTGTTTTGCTGTGTGTGCGCGTGTGCGTGTGCGAGTGCGTGTGTGCATGGGCTTGCGCGTGCGCTTGCTGTGTGTGTGTGTGTGCCTTTAGAGGCCAAGGCTCCTCCCCGCGCATGTCGGCCTGTGTGCAGGGCAGGCGTGAGGGCAGTCGCGATAGCCGATTTGTCAGCGAACGCTAGCTTCCCCCCCCCCCCCGCCCAAAGCTCCCCCGCCCCCCCCCAAATCGTCAAAAACACCAACTTAAGGTAAATATCACATAGGCACGCCTTACATATCAGTTTGGAGAAGATCTCCTTCAGCGCCGCTTCTTAAGTGGCGCCAGGCCAACTTCGAGGCGTTTGGCTGCCTCCCTCACATCGTGGGAAGCGGGGTGGGGCCGCTTTCTGTCATACGTGAGGTTTCCGAAAATGATCAAGTCATAGGAATGACCCATGAAGGTATCACTGCGAGGCCCTTCTGATCCACAACCACAGGACTGGCCCATATCAGTTTCGGTGCAGAAGGCAGCATGCTTTCGACATGGCCAAGGTACCGCACCACCTTCATCGACGTCAGTGAGTGTATTTCTACCTTTGATCTGCCGATTATCACACGTGCCAAGAGCGCGCCATGTTTGAAGCCGCAGCCCCAGACTTTTTGGGAGGGACGGGGGTGACGTGAACTCGACCAGGGCGATGTCCGAATGTCCTGTTTGCAGAGTTTGACCGCGGCAGCTGGGGTAAGCACCCCAAAGTTGTCAACGGTGCTGGAAGAGGAACTTTTAATCCCAAGGCAGTTCTGCCAACTGACCTAAGACGTTCACTTGAACTGCGCCAGTACAGATGGGTGTGCGATTTGCTGTTTATTCACCTGCAATTCCTGCTGAAACTGAAGGGTCGACCTCCAATGTACTATGTAGAGGAGAACCCCAGGATGAATCAGCGAATGAATTTCGGGGGCATACCCCAAGGCCAATTCGGTGATTCTCATCCCCAGCAAAAGTAGCACCCACAAGCAGGCCGTTTCCATTTGGATGTTGAAATCGTGCAGATCCTTCATGTGCTTAGTGCGGCTTGGTGCTACTTTCTTGCCGTGATTCTTTGTCGCCTGTGACTGTCTTGATGGGCTCATTGCGGCCCGTGCTGATTCCTGCGCTCAAACACACCAAGAGAACGAGTGTTGAAGAGGAGTCTCTTTTGTGTGGAAAAGGCAATTGTTCGTTGTTTTTTCAGGAATGTTGGGTCCCAAGACTCATGAAGCCTGGCTGGTAGAGATATCATTTGCATGGGATGCGTGTCTGCGAAGCCAGCATGACTCCGATGTGGCTTTCAGAGCCTCCTGGGGTCTACCGACTTCACCTGAGAAGCCTTTGGACCAATTTGTGCATTGGAACGTATACTAAACATCGACCATAATCAAACAAAGGGCGGGAGGCAACGGCTGCAGCATGTTGTTCAGGAAGGGCACTGTGCGGGAGCAGTAATCATGGTACAACTTGTCACAGTTGATTTGAGAAGGGTCCCGGTCTGGTCAACATGTTGTCCCTCGAAACCCAGATTCCAGCCCTCTTGGGGCATGTGTCTCATGTTCCGTGGCTTACGCAAGGATCGAGAAGGACAGCGACCTTGAGTTCATGAAGCGACTTGGATCCAACTCTGGTCGGTGTTTTTCCTATGAGCATTGGTGGCTAACCAAATCCTTTCCACTGGCCTCCCATCGGATTTCCTGGGGCTCCAATTTCGGGGTTTGACAAGTGGACAGTTTGTCATCTTTGGGACCCCAAAGTTGGCCTGGCGCAAAGGCTCTTTTGACCCAGCGAATTCCCATTCGCCAAGGGTTGATGGGAATGAAGAAGGGGCGCGTGAAAAGCTGTCTGAGAGCAAGCTTTGAGCAAGTCGATTGGGTGAGAGACTTGATTGAGTTGCATTTCACAATAAGCGAGTGAATATGGGTTGTGAATTGCGGATGCGGCTCCATAGCGCGAATGGCTTGCCCAATCGATTCGAACAAAACTGAGTCTTGACCCTTGTCATTTGTCATTCAATGAGCAGCATGTTAGGTGTCAAAAGAACTATTGAACCAGGAGACGGGCCATTCAGAGATGCTGTACCACTTCTCGGGGCACATGTCTTCAGCCAGCCCCGAACCCCTGGGATCCAACTTGCAAGGCATTCCGATTGGAATGAGTGCTACGTTTCCAAACCTTTTCTTATTTTTAATCACAGGACGGTTGGCCGATTGCACCAACGCTGTCCTGTGTCATCCTGACTGGAACAGAACTCGCGTCTTCCCCAGTCTTGCTTCCTGGCCAAAATTTGCCGCCTAGTTTACTGCTTCTGCGATCCCCTAGAAAGATAGAAACAGGTGGCGCAAATTGTTATTTTTGCTTGTTTGTGCTAACCAATCAGACACATGAGACATTCCCGTCATTGGATCTATGTTCTAAGTGCGCCGAAGTGATTCGAACAATAGAAGCTGTCGGTCATAGTGAACAAACCGTAGAAGAAACAAAACAACGGACTGGTTTACGGAAAGGGTTCCATCATTGAAGATGGGAAGACTACGGGAAGGCTGCGACTAGTGGAACATTGCAGGATACCTAGTAGACCGTGAGAAGACTACAGCAAGACTACAGGAATATAACACGAAGACTACTGGCAGACTACAGGAAGACTACAATATACGAAGACTGCAGGAACACGAAATAGATAAAATGAAAAGTGAGCATATTTAGTATCGTAAGATCAAGTTTGACAAGATTAAGATGATCCTTGCTTCATCATTTGCTTGGTTGGCTTTAAATAATTTCCTTTGCTCGAATACTCTTCCCTTTCTGAAGCCTCAGAATTGCTGCGGGAGGGGGGGAGGTTGTGGGAAAGAAGTAGCAATCAAGGGTCAACACTTGGGACATTCTGTCTAGTTGATGTTTGTCTTTCTCACTGACTTTCCTTGGCCAGTTTTAGACAATCCCTCGCGCGCAGGCATACATCCGCACATTACACTGAAGCCTGCCCCTAACCTGACCCTAGGGCCAACCCGACACCACACCAAACCCAACCTGACCTAAACCCGTCCTAACTCAACCCTTAACCTCACCCTAACCCCCCCATGAGCCCACCTGAACCGCGGAAGGCTTCACGGGGAAAGCATCACAGCAAGGCTCGGGGGGAACACTTTCACATCCATACCTCAAAATCCCTGGCAATGCTCCCAACATACGGACGTCTCGGAAAAGGCTCAAAAGGTTCCCGTGCTCCATGCTAAGGAGCCAAGTCGATTTCGTCCGAGGCTGTCGGTGGGAGCTCTCAGTCAACGTGCGCAGCAGCTGCATGTGCTCCTGATGCGACTTGGTGAGTGGGCATGGATGCGGGTGACTACAGTGAGCCCACCAATGGCCGCTGCAACGTATGATTTCACAGTTTGATGTTTGGCAGTTTTTGGTTGGAGGTGTTTATCCAGCGCCATGCGACTGTTGTAGCCCCTTTGTTAGATTTCTCCAAAGACCCACATGAAGGAACAACTCCGGAACCTTGGCAGCTCCCAGCCGCCCCTAGACAAATCTTCAGTAATGTATACATAGATACATGCATATATATATATATATGCATATGTTAGTTTTTTCTAAAATATGTGTGTGTGTATATTTATATAAATACACTACACATGCGCATGGCACGATGACAAAAGCGTGTAAGGCAGCTTATACAGAAAGTGTACTATTATTTTGGCCTGATCAGTTTTTCCTTTTGTTCACAAGGCGGCACACTTAGAACTTAAGGGAATCACAATGGATTCTTGGGTTTGAGCTGTTCTTCTACCCGCAGTTTGCTTTGCGGTTTTGAGAGGCTGGAGGCTGTGAACATTCCTTGCTCCACGGTCCTTTGGCCTTCTGAAGGGTAATTGTAAACGTTGCACGCTGCCCACTTCTGCTAGGCTCAAAAGAACTGTAAGCACAATACAGGCTTGAGCAAATGATGCCAGCTGGGCTGAGCACTGTAGCACAAGGTGAGTAGGAGCGAGAACTCGTTCGGGGCCGGCCAGCGAGGTCACTGGACTTGGTTGGACTGGGTATGACAGGCTGAGGAGCAAGCCCAAAGCCGCGTTCATAAAGACACTACTTGAGAGCGATGCTTGCTACGTCGATATTGATGTGCGGGACTAAGTATTGCCGCAGACAAAAATACAAACAGTACCCAGCCCCAACCAGCCAGCCCAGCTCCGCAATTGCAGGAGGGGCTGGGGAGACCCTTCAAAAGCGATAGCATTTGGTAGAACTAGAGTTGCGCCTTTGGATCTGGAGCTGCCAAAGTGCATTGTGCGCACAACGCTGGTGCCGCTGCCAGCGTGTACTTCGCAAGCTACGCTTGTGTTGAAACAAGCTGTGATTTTCGAGCTAGAGCTGCCAAAGTGTAGGCCAGAGCGTGCTTTGAATATTGCGCTTGTGCTGAAAAGTTGCGATTTCCGAGCTGGAGCGGCCAACGTGTTCGACGCGTACTGCGCTGGCGCTGAACTGTTAACACCCTGTAAACTCGCAAGGAGAACAGCGCAAGCTCCTGGAGTTTCTTTATTATAGTCCCATTTGGTAGAACAGGAAGTAGCATGAATCCTCGCCCAGCTCGCTGCCGTGCCCCGGAGACAGTTCTTCCAATTACAAATGAAGATGCTTCCGGAAAAGGCATGCGCGAGTGGGAAACGTACAAGCTTTGACTCGCAGACCGCTTTTCCATTGCACGCTTGGAATTGGGTAATAGGGCACTGTTTTTGCAACCAGCATCTCGGCAAGTCACCACACACATATATATATATATATATGTACTTATATACATATAGGATGTATGGCATACATACAGTTCAACCTTCAGCCATGGACCACTGAAATGAATTTTTGCTCGCTTGAATCATTGATCTCCTTGCCGAGGAGGGGCGAGAAGGCGATCGCAATCCACTGCACAGGCCGGCGAATGCAAACCGCAGGGCTCACAGGTTTACAGGGGACACTTGCCGCCGTTTCTCATTTTTGGGAATGCCCCAACAAGCCGCATCATGCTCCCCTGTCAAGACGAGCTCACTCATGAAGATCCCCTTGAGTTCCCTTATTTCTGTATATCCATAGTAGTGAAACGGAATCGGATGGCTTTATGCCCATGCTTTCAAGGACGGAATTCTCCCCGTTCATGGAAGTCTTGTGCCTTTCAGTGCACTTGTCGGAATGGCTCACGTTGACACGTCTAGTCTGCCAACAGTCTGATTTCACTGAGTCCCCTTTGGCTGCCTTTTTGCGTGGCCGGAGCCGATGATAGCCCTTGAATTCGCCTTTCAGCTTTTGGAACATGGTTCCTAGCGACCAGCGTCAGAATGAACATGAAACATCAGTTTGGGCCAATTGAGCGGTAGACCTTCTCCTTAGACAGATCACTTGACTGTGGGTCGAGGGGGAGTTTGGAAGATGTGAGCCCAAAGATTCCCAAGATCCACCAAGCTACTTCATGTATAGTAGAGGGGAGGTCCACATCAGCGCGCCCCCCCCTTTTGAACAATCCCCTATCGTTTCCCACGGTGGGTGCTTCGTCCCATTTGTATGCGTGTCTTTTGAGGGCGCCCTTTTTCTAGGCGTGTTTTTACAGGGAAACCGAAGATTGACTGCCATTTTAAGGCCCCCGCCTATTTTTAGACATACCCATATGTTGAACACTTGGTTGTTTTGTGCTAAGTGAAGGGCTCAGCTAGTGTCTACTTCGGAGTAGTCCGGAGGATGTAAATTGGAGCATCTCCCCACCACAAGGGGAACCACCCTAAGCAGGTTTGCGGGCACTTCTACTGTCGAACCTGGATGAATGACTGTCGCTTAACTGGGAGAGAGACTTCCGCAAAGGTGAAGGGATTCCCACTACTGGACACGCCCTTGTTACATGGTTGTTGTTGGGAAACATTTTACAAATTTGTTTACTGTGGTTTAATCCCCTCTTAACCATTTTTTTTCTCGCCTTCCAACGTCAACCCAGGTTAATCCATCAGGGCTTTCATCCGGGGTCAACGTGAACCCCTGCACGGCCAGGCACGGAGCACTTTGAATCTGAGCAGCCCATCGAGACGGCATCCAGGAACGAGACAGCTGATGCTAAGCCAGCGGAGAGCGCAGCGCCCAAACAGTTTCTGGAGCTGCTGGCCTGCAGTTTGTATCCCACAAATCCACGCATTCCGTATATCCTTCTGCCCTAAGGGGTTCAAGCAGTTCCATGGGGTCAAACGAGCGAACGCCATGGTCCTTGGCTTCGGGATCCAATTCTGATTTCAGGTTTTGGATTTGCGCACTGGACGGAAAGCAACTTCAAAGTCAATAGGCGTTGGGGGTTTCAATAATTATAGTGCGGGTGAGGGGGAGAGGCAAGTCCAGAGTGGAATGATGGAAAGTTATTTTGTTGTTGGAGTTGCGTGGGCGGGGGTGTAGTCGAAAAACAAGAAGTAAAACAAGTCAAAAAGTGTTTCTCTCTCTCTCTCTCTCGCTCTCTTTCTGTCAGCCCCCGGCCAGCGTTGCGAGCTCCTTCACGGCGGCCGTTTTGTGCCACGGATAAGCCTTCTTGCGCGCGATCTCGTTGATGGAGACTCCCCCAGCAAAACTCGACTGACACCAAGACGTTGCATGTGGAACAACATCCGTGTCCAGAGTTCCATCAAAGGGAGTGATGTTGATGCCGCGTTAGTGGGTCAACAGTAGAAGCCCTTACCGAACACAGGCAGAAAAAACTAATTCACGTGGGTGGATATTTTTCCAATGGGTGTTTCTGCAGGTTCCATGTCAACTTGGAGAGGCGAATTTGTGGGATTGACTTTTGATTCGTTTGGACGAAATCAACTGGACTCCTCCTTGAATTACAATACTTTACTGGTTTGATTTCCCAAACAAGAGATCGGACTTGGTTTAAGTCTTCCAGGTTCGACAAAAAAATCCCTGGATTTGTCTCAATGGGGAACCGGGCTGGTTTTGGACTTGCCATTGACTCCATTTTCCCCGAACTTTCTGAACAGTATCTCCATTTTGCTTTTTTTTCATGTTTTCCACTGTCTCCATGTTGCTCCTTTTGGTTTTCTCCGTCTTCTCCACTGTCACCATTTTGGCGGCTTTTTGTTTTTGGCCCGACGTGAGGTTATCACCAACCTTTGTCGTCAGGCAGCTGCTGCGCGTGCTGCTGCCTGGCGGGCCAAATTTCGGCAGTGGTCTTCGGAGGTGTGGCGGGCTGCTGCCCCTGTGCTCAAAAAGTCGTTGGAGCCCCCTACTTTCACAGCCTCCGACATGCGGCATGATTGGCAGGCGATTTGGTGCCCTGCTAATGCGGCTCCCGAGGCTGCCGCCCACTGGCGTGAGGCTGCGCGGGCCCACGCCCTGCCGCAGCCCCGCGCCGAACCCCAAGCTTCGGTTCCCACTTTTGATGCTTTCTCTTCTGCGCTGGCTTCCGCCTCTGGCTCTGCTGGTTTTGATGGTTGGGAAGCTTGTGAGCTCAAGGCGTTACCGAAGCACCTTCCTGAGTTGTGCGCTGAGCTCTATCAGCTTTGGTGTGACATCACGCGGTCGGAAGCTTCTGCCTTCGTGCAGGCTGCGTCTTCCTGGAAAACTGTTGGCTTGCCCAAGCGTGGGTCAGGGTCTCGGCCCATATCCATCGGCTCTTGTCTCTTGCGCGCCTGGCATCGGGCGATCCTCTCATCCCTTTTCCCTGCGGCTCCGCAGGGCCAGTGGGCTTGCAAGGGTGGCTCAGTCCTTGCAGCCACCGCTGCCTTCCTGACCACTCCGGCCAGCGCTGTGGCTGAGATTGACTTGGCCAAGGCTTTTGACTCAGTCGACCACTCCGTTGCTGAAGCTGCTTTGCTCTGGCATGGCCTGCACCCTGATGTGTGTCGTTACCTGGTTTCGGTCTGGCAGGCCGGCCGCGTGTGTGTGGTGTCTGGCCTCCCATCGGAGCCCATCTTTCCCCACCGCGGGCTCCCCCAAGGTGATCCGGTTGCCGGCGCCGTACTTGCGTACGTGCTCGCTCCTTGGAGCTCTGCTCCTCGTCCTAGCTGCACCCTTTGGGCTTTCGTTGATGATCGCACTTTGGCTATCACAGGCCCGTCTGGGCGTCAAGGCTTGCTCGATGCGCTTCAGTTCACTCGTGAGTTCGACAATGCCGTCGGTCTCACTGAAAACATCGACAAGCGGCAGATTTGGATTGAAGGGGAGCATCACCGCATTGAACACCTTGGGTTGTCCTTGGCCCTTTTCGATGCGAACTGCCCTATCCTTCCTCGCAATGGCTGGGATCCGCTTGTTGGCATGATTCAGCGTTTGGCCACCATCCCGGGTGCCGCTCATGTCCGTGAACGTTTGGCCGCTGGCTTCATCATGCCTGTGTGTCGCTGGGCTTGTCCTTTGGTGAGTTTGCCGCCGGCTTCGGCCGCCCCGCAGCTCTTGCGAGCCATTTTGGCTTCTCAATGCACCTGGTGGTGCGCTGGGCGCTGGTGGGCCCAGCGCATTCAGCTGCATCCCATTTACGGGACCGCCATTCATGGTTTGTCGCGGGTTCGCCCTTTCGTTGACCACTTGTCCCCTCACCTCGCCAATGCTGTGGATGCCTACGCGTCGGCGTTGGGTATGCTCGTGCACCGCTTCACCAGGGAGCATGGTCTCGCTCTGGCCTTCCCTGCAGGGACAGACATACGGCTTGTGTCGCTGCTTCCTGATCCTGCCTCTCCTTTTAACCCTTGGACCCCTCTTGGCAAACATGTCTTGCGGCAAGCTGGTCGACTCCTTGCTTTGGGTTTGGTCAAGCTCTCGCGTTTCGACTCTGAAGGCGTTGACAGCATCGACCTTGAGGCCTCCAGCCATTTCATTTGGGCTCGTTGGGTTCGCTCCCTTAGCAGCGAGGATAGTGCCCTGCTTAATATTTGGCGCTCGGGCGCGGCTCGCACTCCTACTCGTCGCCATTACAGGCGTAACAACGACTTGTGTGTTTGCCCTTTTTGTGATTTTCAGCGTGCTTCTGCCCGCCACTTTTTCTCTGATTGCCCTCGGTTTGCCCCGGATCGGCTTGCTCTCCAGGATCGCTTTGGTATCCAACCCGATTGGTGGTCCTTGCAGCCTCGTGTGACGGCAAAATCTGGTTGGGTAGTCCTGCATGCTCACCCTTCCCCCTTGCAACGGGCTCGTTGTCAAGTTGCGGCGTGTGCCTTAGGCATTGCCATTGCTAAGGCGAATTCCCCGCGGGATTCCCCTTATTGACTTCTAGTCCCTGGCCTTTTCTTGTACTCGTGAAGACGCTTCCCGTGTCTTACCACTTGTGCCTTCTGGTGCCGTGGTCGTTTCTTACTTTTTGTGCCCCTCAACCCTGTGTCAGGTTGGGTCACTTCATCATCATCATCATCACCAGCTCTGGAAGTATGGGCCACCCCGAGATTTGCCGGCGCCCGTGCAAGTACTTTGCCACAGGGGCGCCTTGGCTTCACTTTGGAGATGGCTTTTTGCGCTTTCGGTGGAAGTGGATTGGCTGGATACCCTTTCCTCACAGATGGGCACTGACAAGAGGTTTGGTGAAAGTGGATGCCAATTTGGGGTTTATCTGACTGCAAAAAAGTCGGCTGGATACCCTTTCCTCACAGATGGACACTGACAAGAGGTTTGGTGAAAGTGGATGCATATTTTGGGGTTTTTCTGACTGCAAGAAAGTCAGCTGGATACCCTTTCTTCACAGATGGACACTGACAAGAGGTTTGGTGAAAGTGGATGAATATTTTGGGTTTTATCTGACTGCAAGAAAGTCGGCTGGATACCCTTTCCTCACAGATGGACACTGACAAGAGGTTTGGTGAAAGTGGATGCATATTTTGGGTTGTATCTGACTGCAAGAAAGTCGGCTGGATACCCTTTCCCCACAGATGGACACTGGCAAGAGGTTTGGTGAAAGTGGATGCATATTTTGGGTTTTATCTGACTGCAAGAAAGTCGGCTGGATACCCTTTCCTCACAGATGGACACTGAAAAGAGGTTTGGTGAAAGTGGATGCCAATTTGGGTTTTATCTGACTGCAAGAAAGTTGGCTGGATACCCTTTCCTCACACATGCACGCTGACAAGAGGTTTGGTGAAAGTGGATGCCAATTTGGGTTTTATCTGACTGCCAGAAAGTCGGCTGGATACCCTTTCCTCACAGATGGACGCTGACAAGAGGTTTGGTGAAAAAGGATGCCAATTTGGGTTCTATTTGACTGCAAGAAAGTCGGCTGGATACCCTTTCCTCACAGATGGACACTGACAAGAGGTTTGGTGAAAGTGGATGCCAATTTGGGTTTTATCTGACTGCAAGTCGGCTGGATACCCTTTCCTCACAGATGGACACTGACAAGAGGTTTGGTGAAAGTGGATGCATATTTTGGGTTTTATCTGCTGCAAGAAAGTTGGCTGGATACCCTTTCCCCACAGATGGACACTGGCAAGAGGTTTGGTGAAAGTGGATGCATATTTTGGGTTTTATCTGACTGCAAGAAAGTCGGCTGGATACCCTTTCCTCACAGATGGACACTGAAAAGAGGTTTGGTGAAAGTGGATGCCAATTTGGGTTTTATCTGACTGCAAGCAAGGATACCCTTTCCTCACAGATGGACACTGACAAGAGCTTTGGTGAAAGTGGATGCCAATTTGGGTTTTATCTGACTGCAAGAAAGTCGGCTGGATACCCTTTCCTCACCGATGGACACTGACAAGAGGTTTGGTGAACGCGAATGCCAATTTGGGTTTTATCTGACTGCAAGAAAGTCGGCCGGATACCCTTTCCTCACAGATGGACACTGACAAGAGGTTTGGTAAAAGTGGATGCATATTTTGGGTTTTATCTGACTGCAAGAAAGTTGGCTGGATACCCTTTCCTTACAGTGGGACACTGACAAGAAATTTGGTAAAAGTGGATGCCAATCTGGGTTTTATCTGACTGCAAGAAAGTCGGCTGGATACCCTTTCCTCAAAGATGGACACTGACAAGAGGTTTGGTGAAAGTGGATGCATATTTTGGGTTTTATCTGACTGCAAGAAAGTTGGCTGGATACCCTTTCCCCACAGATGGACACTGACAAGAAATTTGGTGAAAGTGGATGCCAATTTGGGTTTTATCTGACTGCAAGAAAGTCGGCTGGATACCCTTTCCTCACAGATGGACACTGACAAGAGGTTTGGTGAAAGTGGATGCCAATTTGGGTTTTATCTGACTGCAGAAAGTCGGCTGGATACCCTTTCCTCACAGATGGACACTGACAAGAAATTTGGTGAAAGTGGATGCCAATTTGGGTTTTATCTGACTGCAAGAAAGTCGGCTGGATACCCTTTCCTCACAGATGGACACTGACAAGAGGTTTGGTGAAAGTGGATGCCAATTTGGGTTTTATCTGACTGCAAGAAAGTCGGCTGGATACCCTTGTTTCACAGATGGACACCGACAAGAGGTTTGGTGAAAGTGGATGCATATTTTGGGTTTTATCTGACTGCAAGAAAGTCGGCTGGATACCCTTTCCTCACAGATGGACACTGAAAAGAGGTTTGGTGAAAGTGGATGCCAATTTGGGTTTTATCTGACTGCAAGAAAGTTGGCTGGATACCCTTTCCTCACAGATGGACACTGACAAGAGGTTTGGTGAAAGTGGATGCCAATTTGGGTTTTATCTGACTGCAAGAAAGTCGGCTGGATACCCTTGTTTCACAGATGGACACCGACAAGAGGTTTGGTGAAAGTGGATGCATATTTTGGGTTTTATCTGACTGCAAGAAAGTTGGCTGGATACCCTTTCCCCACAGATGGACACTGGCAAGAGGTTTGGTGAAAGTGGATGCATATTTTGGGTTTTATCTGACTGCAAGAAAGTCGGCTGGATACCCTTTCCTCACAGATGGACACTGAAAAGAGGTTTGGTGAAAGTGGATGCCAATTTGGGTTTTATCTGACGGCAAGAAAGTCGGCTGGATACCCTTTCCTCACAGATCGACACTGACAAGAGGTTTGGTGAAAGTGGATGCCAATTTGGGTTTTATCTGACTGCAAGAAAGTCGGCTGGATACCCTTTCCTCACAGATGGACACTGACAAGAGGTTTGGTGAACGCGAATGCCAATTTGGGTTCTATTTGACTGCAAGAAAGTCGGCTGGATACCCTTTCCTCACAGATGGACACTGACAAGAGGTTTGGTGAAAGTGGATGCATATTTTGGGTTTTATCTGACTGCAAGAAAGTCGGCTAGATTCCCCTTCCTCACAGATGGACACTGACAAGAGGTTTGGTGAAAGTGGATGCCAATTTGGGTTGTGTCTGACTGCAAGAAAGTCGGCTGTGTACCCTTTCCTCACAGATGTACACTCACAAGAGGTTTGGTGAACGCGCATGCCAATTTGGGTTTTATCTGACTGGAAGAAAGTCGGCCGGATACCCTTTCTTCACAGATGGACACTGACAAGAAATTTGGTGAAAGTGGATGCCAATCTGGGTCTTATCTGACTGCAAGAAAGTCGGCTGGATACCCTTTCCTCACAGTGGGACACTGACAAGAGCTTTGGTAAAAGTGGATGCCAATCTGGGTTTTATCTGACTGCAAGAAAGTCGGCTGGATACCCTTTTTTCACAGATGGACACTGACAAGAGGTTTGGTGAACGCGAATGCCAATTTGGGTTTTATCTGACTGCAAGAAAGTCGGCTGGATACCCTTGTTTCACAGATGGACACCGACAAGAGGTTTGGTGAAAGTGGATGCATATTTTGGGTTTTATCTGACTGCAAGAAAGTCGGCTGGATACCCTTTCCTCACAGATGGACACTGAAAAGAGGTTTGGTGAAAGTGGATGCCAATTTGGGTTTTATCTGACTGCAAGCAAGGATACCCTTTCCTCACAGATGGACACTGACAAGAGATACCCTTTCACAGATGGCCAATCTGGGTTTTATCTGACTGCAAGAAAGTCGGCTGGATACCCTTTCCTCACCGATGGACACTGACAAGAGGTTTGGTGAACGCGAATGCCAATTTGGGTTTTATCTGACTGCAAGAAAGTCGGCCGGATACCCTTTCCTCACAGATGGACACTGACAAGAGGTTTGGTAAAAGTGGATGCATATTTTGGGTTTTATCTGACTGCAAGAAAGTTGGCTGGATACCCTTTCCTCACAGATGAACACTGACAAGAAATTTGGTAAAAGTGGATGCCAATTTGGGTTTTATCTGACTGCAAGAAAGTCGGCTGGATACCCTTTCCTCAAAGATGGACACTGACAAGAGGTTTGGTGAAAGTGGATGCATATTTTGGGTTTTATCTGACTGCAAGCAAGTCGGCTGGATACCCTTTCCTCACAGATGGACACTGACAAGAAATTTGGTGAAAGTGGATGCCAATTTGGGTTTTATCTGACTGCAAGAAAGTCGGCTGGATACCCTTTCCTCACAGATGGACACTGACATGAGGTTTGGTGAAAGTCGATGCCAATTTGGGTTTTATCTGACTGCCAGAAAGTCGGCTGGATACCCTTTCCTCACAGATGGACACTGACAAGAGGTTTGGTGAACGTGGATGAATATTTTGGGTTTTATTTATCTGACTGCAAGAAAGTCGGCTGGATACCCTTTCCTCCCAGATGGACACTGACAAGAGGTTTGGTGAAAGTGGATGCATATTTTGGGTTTTATCTGACTGGCTGGATACCCTTTCCCCACAGATGGACACTGGCAAGAGGTTTGGTGAAAGTGGATGCATAATTTGGGTTTTATCTGACTGCAAGAAAGTCGGCTGGATACCCTTTCCTCACAGATGGACACTGAAAAGAGGTTTGGTGAAAGTGGATGCCAATTTGGGTTTTATCTGACTGCAAGAAAGTTGGCTGGATACCCTTTCCTCACAGATGGACACTGACAAGAGGTTTGGTGAAAGTGGATGCCAATTTGGGTTTTATCTGACTGCAAGAAAGTCGGCTGGATACCCTTTCCTCACAGATGGACACTGACAAGAAATTTGGTGAAAGTGGATGCCAATTTGGGTTGTATCTGACTGCAAGAAAGTCGGCTGGATACCCTTTCCTGACAGATGGACACTGACAAGAGGTTTGGGGAAAGTGGATGCCAATCTGGGTTTTATCTGACTGGAAAGTCGGCTGGATACCCTTTCCTCACAGATGGACACTGACAAGAAATTTGGTGAAAGTGGATGCCAATTTGGGTTTTATCTGACGGCAAGAAAGTCGGCTGGATACCCTTTCCTCACAGATCGACACTGACAAGAGGTTTGGTGAAAGTGGATGCCAATTTGGGTTTTATCTGACTGCAAGAAAGTCGGCTGGATACCCTTTCCTCACAGATGGACACTGACAAGAGGTTTGGTGAACGCGCATGCCAATTTGGGTTCTATTTGACTGCAAGAAAGTCGGCTGGATACCCTTTCCTCACAGATGGACACTGACAAGAGGTTTGGTGAAAGTGGATGCATATTTTGGGTTTTATCTGACTGCAAGAAAGTCGGCTAGATTCCCCTTCCTCACAGATGGACATTGACAAGAGGTTTGGTGAAAGTGGATGCCAATTTGGGTTGTGTCTGACTGCAAGAAAGTCGGCTGTGTACCCTTTCCTCACAGATGTACACTCACAAGAGGTTTGGTGAACGCGCATGCCAATTTGGGTTTTATCTGACTGCAAGAAAGTCGGCCGGATACCCTTTCTTCACAGATGGACACTGACAAGAGGTTTGGTAAAAGTGGATGCCAATCTGGGTTTTATCTGACTGCAAGAAAGTTGGCTGGATACCCTTTCCTCACAGTGGGACACTGACAAGAGCTTTGGTAAAAGTGGATGCCAATCTGGGTTTTATCTGACTGCAAGAAAGTCGGCTGGATACCCTTTCCTCACAGTGGGACACTGACAAGAGCTTTGGTAAAAGTGGATGCCAATCTGGGTTTTATCTGACTGCAAGAAAGTCGGCTGGATACCCTTTCCTCACAGTGGGACACTGACAAGAGCTTTGGTAAAAGTGGATGCCAATCTGGGTTTTATCTGACTGCAAGAAAGTCGGCTGGATACCCTTTCCTCACAGATGGACACTGACATGAGGTTTGGTGAACGCGCATGCCAATTTGGGTTTTATCTGACTGCAAGAAAGTCGGCCGGATACCCTTTCTTCACAGATGGACACTGACAAGAGGTTTGGTAAAAGTGGATGCCAATCTGGGTTTTATCTGACTGCAAGAAAGTTGGCTGGATACCCTTTCCTCACAGTGGGACACTGACAAGAGCTTTGGTAAAAGTGGATGCCAATCTGGGTTTTATCTGACTGCAAGAAAGTCGGCTGGATACCCTTTCCTCACAGTGGGACACTGACAAGAGCTTTGGTAAAAGTGGATGCCAATCTGGGTTTTATCTGACTGCAAGAAAGTCGGCTGGATACCCTTTCCTCACAGTGGGACACTGACAAGAGCTTTGGTAAAAGTGGATGCCAATCTGGGTTTTATCTGACTGCAAGAAAGTCGGCTGGATACCCTTTCCTCACAGTGGGACACTGACAAGAGCTTTGGTAAAAGTGGATGCCAATCTGGGTTTTATCTGACTGCAAGAAAGTCGGCTGGATACCCTTTCCTCACAGATGGACACTGACAAGAGGTTTGAGGAAGCTGGTTGAAACCCAGGGCCTCCAGTTGGCAACGTGGGGCATGATCTTGCCGCCTTTGGGTCAAACATGGGTGTGTCAAGATAGGGAAACCCCCCAAAAGGGTGGCCCGCCTTTGCATTTTTTTGTTTTACAACCCAGAAAAGGGCGCCCTCCAAGCAGACGCCCAGGTTTGCATGCTTGCAAGTGGATGCAGACGGCTCCGAGGTGTGCGCCAACGGGCAGGCCTGTCAGTACTGCCATTTGCCCCACAGCCAGCGAGCAGCACATCTGGACAAGAGGCCGGGGACACTTGGCCAAGGCACGCCTTTGGACCCTCGCCCGTCATTCGGTTCCTTAGGCCCGAGGTTTTTGGCATGGGACTTAGGACATGCCCTGCAAGTCTCCTCAAATGTTTAAGGGATGAACGAACCACTGGGTTCTGTCTTTAGTTTGCTTCAAAGAACTACGTAGTTGCCTTCTTTGCCACACACGCAGCAGATGTTCGAAACCAAAGGCGAGCCTAGCTCAAGTGGAACCCACTTGAGCAGTGATGGAGCCAGACTTAACCAGAACTGACACCACGCCGGACACGAAGCGCGCTCCGTTCGTATATGTGTTGTCAACCACCTCGGAGTTAGCGTTGGTCCTGCACCCGTTGTTTAGACAGCCTAAGCCTGCGCCCTGGAATGACCATGGCCCACCCCCCTTTTTTACACCTTCGGGCGTCCCTGTGCGAGACTGGCAATGTCAATCAGCAAGACACTGTTCTTTGGACATTTGAGTGCACCCTTCTGCAATTTTCTGCAAAAACGCACTGCTGACACGAGTGCTGATAAATGGGATTGGGTTGCTGATGGAGGTTTAGACGGGTGCCTGGGATTCCAACCAACCAAATGGGGAACCACATGGGGCTTGATATATTACCCCCGGTTTTCCTAAGGGTCTTCATCTAAATTGAGTCAACCACTTTGAACCCTGGCTCTTCTCGATCCCTGGCAGCCAGTCGTCCAAAAGGCGTCAGAGGGAGCGGGCTTTCAGATTCGTCACTTGGATTCACTCGTCTTAGCCACCAGTCGCTGCTTGGATGGTGCTTCTGCTCGCCGCGTACAGCTTAGTTGGCCAAACCTGGGCTTTTGACCTTAGTAGCTTCAAGGTTTGGTAAAGTTGTTGCGGCGACAAAGGAAAGCCTATAAGTCTATAAGATGTGGGGCAAGTGAGGCTAACATGAGCGGAAGACTTGACGACCTTTTGCGTGTGCCCACTCCAATTCACGAGGTTAGCTTGTTTCCTCCGAAATTGTGCCCATTAAGCGAGGTGTTTGCAATACGGAGGTTGACCGAAAATTGTCCAGGCAGCGAGAGGTGCTGAACAAAATGTCAGAGAAGGAGCTCATTGCGTTGGTCCTGCCGTATTTGGAGGCTGTCGGGCACGGCATGCGTGTCAGATGTGGACAATGGACACAACGCCCGGATGGTTATGACATTATGAGGGGCTACATGCTACCCTCGACGTGGAACCTGACAGGGGGTCCTTTTAAACGGAACATGGTTTTTGCAGGACCCCTGTCAGGTTCTATGGTGATTGGTGGAAGGGTACTATGTTGCTCCTGTGATCATGACTGAATGAATAACTTGGTTAGGGTGCCCCATAACCCCATTGCACCAATGCAGGCTCTTGTTTTTTGACCATGGCACCAGGGGAATGGTTGCTTGGAACGTATTTTGCTTGTGGGCTGGAATCATTCTGGGGAGAAGTTATTGGCTGGTCATGTTTGAGACAAATCCGGTTAAACAGACGAGAAGGAAGCCGCTGCCATGTGCCCCTGCAAGGGATTGGCTCCAAACGTTTGTAGCTGGAGCTGTTGCCGCGGTTTCTGCGCAAGGGTCCCACAATCTTGGCGCAGAGCAACATTATTGCAAGTATCATTTGTACACCTGGTGGCAAAATGCTAAGGCCAAGGCGAATCAGGGCGCATGTGTGTTGCAGGCAACCGCCCAAGTGTTGATATCGGATTGCATGTTTTGCATTGCGTACGCAGTGTGTTCCTTTCAAGCTCGTCGCTCTAACGTTGGACTCGGCAGCTTTGTACGACTGAAAAAGGGGCCAGGGAAGCTGAGAAGGGGGAAGCCGTTTGATCAGTTGCAGAAGGGGGTCGAAGGGGCCAGCATGTGTTCGATTTCCAAATGTCACTTTCTTAAATTTAAGGGCTGCCGCCCAGTGCCGCCGACCCCCGGATTTAGTTGTGGTTTTCGAGCAAAAGAAAACAGTGCCCTTGGTTTTGGTTTCTTTGGTTTCTTTTGGGTGAAATGTTAAATTTTCGCCCCGGTCAAATTTTGGTCTTGTTTTTTGGTTTCACTGTAAACTTCAACCCTGCGTACTTGAGTCATGATCAGACCCCACCCCCCTGGATGATGATGGACGACGTCGATGATAATTATCATCGTAGAATCCTCTGCATTGCCAATGCTGTCTAACGTTACTTTTGAAATGCATATAAGAACAAGAAAGAGATGATGATGACCATCAGGATGGTGATGAGAAGAGTGATGATGATGATGATGACGACCATCATCATGATGATGATGAGGAAGATCCTGATGATGACTGTGATGATAACTATCATCGTAGCATCCCTTGCATCACCAGTGCTCCCTAATGAGAGATGATGATGACCGTGATGACAATGATGATAAGGATGAGGCCTGTGATGAAAACTCTCATCGTAGCATCCTTTGCATTGCCAATGCTGTCTAACGTTACTTTTGAAATGCATATAAGAACAAGAAAGAGATGATGATGACCATCAGGATGGTGATGAGAAGAGTGATGATGATGATGATGACGACCATCATCATGATGATGATGAGGAAGATGCTGATGATGACTGTGATGATAACTATCATCGTAGCATCCCTTGCATCACCAGTGCTCCCTGATGAGAGCCGTGTGAGGCCTGTGATGAAAACTCTCATTGTAGCATCCTTTGCATTGCCAATGCTGTCTAACGTTACTTTTGAAATGCATATAAGAACAAGAAAGAGATGATGATGACCATCAGGATGGTGATGAGAAGAGTGATGATGATGATGATGACGACCATCATCATGATGATGATGAGGATGACCGTGATGACAATGATGATAAGGATGTGTGATGAAAACTCTCATCGTAGCATCCTTTGCATTGCCAATGCTGTCTAACGTTACTTTTGAAATGCATATAAGAACAAGAAAGAGGATGATGACGACCATCATCATGATAGTGTGATGATAACTATCATCGTAGCATCCTTTGCATCACCAGTGCTGCCTAATAAGAGATGATGATGACCGTGATGAGAATGATGGCAAGGATGATGATAAGGGTGAGACTGTGATGATGACTATCATCGTAGCATCCTCTGCATTGCCAATGCTGTCTAACGTTACTTTTGAAATGTATATAAGAACAAGAAAGAGATGATGATGACCTCATCATCTCTCATTAGGGAGCACTGGTGATGCAAAGGATGCTACGCTGATAGTTATCATCACAGTCTCATCCTTATCATCATTGTCATCACGGTCATCATCTCTTTTCAGGCAGCACTGGTGATGCAAAGGATGCTACGATGATAGTTATCATCACAGTCATCAGGATCTTCCTCATCATCATCATGATGATGGTCGTCATCATCATCATCATCACTCTTCTCATCATCGAGGCATCCTCTGCATTGCCAGTGCTGTCTAACGTTACTTTTGAAATGCATATAAGAACAAGAAAGTGTGATGATAACTATCATCGTAGCATCCCTTGCATCACCAGTGCTCCCTAATGAGAGATGATGATAAGGATGAGGACTGTGATGATAACTATCATCGTAGCATCCTCGGCATCACCAGTGCCGGCTAATGAGAGATGATGATGACCGTGATGATAATGATGATAAGGATGAGGACTGTGATGATAACTATCATCGTAGCTTCCTCGGCATCACCAGTGCCGGCTAATAAGAGATGATGGTGACCGTGATGATAATGATGATAAGGATGCTGCGGCTAGTAAGAGATGATGATGATGACCATGATGATAATGATGATAAGGATGAGGGCTGTGATGATAACTATCATCGTAGCATCCTCTGCATTGCCAATGCTATCTAACGTTACTTTTGAAACGCATAATTGAACAAGAAAGAGATGATGCTGACCATCATGATGATGATGAGAAGAGTGATGATGATGATCAGATGCAGCATCGCTCATGATGATCATGATGATCCTGATGATCATCACTACGCATCTCCAGCATCACCAGCAGTTACCGTGATGATATCCTGATGACAATCATCACTATGCATCCCCTGCATGCGCAGCAGCTGTCATATCAATCATGACTAAAATGCATCACTGCATTCCAAGCCGGGTTGAACGGCAAGCTTGAAACGTAGAATGCTGATGATCCGGATGCTGCGGCTAGTAAGAGATGATGATGATGACCATGATGATAATGATGATAAGGATGAGGACTGTGATGATAACTATCATCGTAGCATCCTCTGCATTGCCAATGCATCTAACGTTACTTTTGAAATGCATATAAGAACAAGAAAGAGATGATGATGACCATCATGATGATGATGAGAAGAGTGATGATGATGATCAGATGCAGCATTGCTTATGATGATCATGATGATCCTGATGATTATCACTACGCATCTCCAGCATCACCAGCAGTTACCGTGATGATATCCTGATGGCAATCATCACTATGCATCCCCTGCATGAGCAGCAGCTGTCATAACAATCATGACTAAAATGCATCACTGCATTCCAAGCCGGGTTGAACGGCAAGCTTGAAACGTAGAATGCTGATGACCCGGATGCTGCGAACCCATCACCCAACATCAGTGGTGCTGATAAACATCACGAAGACAAGGACGAATACAAGCCCTTCCCATGCGCCTCCCCTTTGGAGAAAGGGGTCGGCGGATTTCGCGCAAGAATTGGCCTGCTTTTCCCGTACCCTTCCCAAGAACCACCTCTGGCGGCTCACATGTGTGTGTTGGATTTGGGGGGATTGCCAGCTGACTCGTGTGACTGGGTCTAACCGCCAGTGAACCTCACGTAGGCGAAGTCTCAGACCCACGGCTTCCAGAGCGAAGCCGCGGAGATCTTGGGGCTCCTACGGCACCGTGGATCCTTTGCGCCAGGCCCAAAGCGAAGCGGTTCGAGTCGGAGTCAAGACATCGGTGTTTCAAAGGCAACCCAAAAGTCCGAAATCCATTTTGAGACACGACCAGTCTCGAAGACCCTTTGCTTTGAGGTGATATGAACCTGTGGACTTCTATGGGGATTCCTGGCAAACAAAGCTCCGGACAGTTGTCTCCCTCCCGTGCCGCACTTGGCAAGACTTTTTCGCCTGATGCAAAATACCTAGGGCCTCCCGAGCTTTCCAGTTGAGGCGAGTCTAAGGTTTGCAACCAGTTTAGGGTTGCGATCAACTCGAACATGCCTTCATGTTGCTATACATATGTGTTTGTGCGAGTTGTTGTCAAGCATTTTGGGGGTTCTCCAAGTTGTCAAACATGCAGCGAGGCTGGGCAAGTGCCCCCAACACATGTCCCAAGAGAGGGGAACGAGTCGACAAGGGCAATGGTTTCCTGAAACCGGGAGATGGTCAATACAATGGTCGCCTTTTTTATCTTTCCCTTTCGATCCAAAATGGTTCACCGTATTTTGGAGGCATGTGAATCTGTTGCCAGGTGGCCCCCTGTCCCAAACCTGAGAATTCATGAAGGACAGCCCTGCCTGGAAGTCGGAACACAAGGCCTGCAAAAATCCAAAGGACATCAACCATGAGATCGCGGATGGTGCAAAACAGGGCCTACATTTCGCTTTGAATTTGCCTGGCTGGCTTTCTGCTGCCTGTGTCCGTTTATAGGGTTCCCTAGGTTGGAGACCAGCCTCAAAACACGCGGCTTGTTTCGATCTGGCTGGCTGGCTTGCTGCGCACTGGCTGGTCGGCCTTTGTGATCCACCGGCGTGTCAGTGTCGGTCAATGGAAGTTGATGTTATTGGGTGATCGC